GATTTGTTCTTAAAAAATCAACAGCATCGGAATTGATCTGAAGCGAGATAGGATAGCAATGGCAAGAGACTAGAAACTGCAGGACTGCAGGTTCCAATGGTTTGTCCAGCTGAATGAAAGGCTCGACGATATGGAGGTTGTGATGTGTTGTCTACAGTATTTGAGTGTTTCCTGCTTCTGTTGTATATGTCTTATTTCGTTTGACGGTAGGTGTTTTGCCTGGGTTGGGGGAGGGGTTGCAGGGGTGGTTCTGAGCATTGCCAATTTTTCTTCTGCAGAATGGGAATTTTGTAGTACCCATAACAATTGCAGTCCCTGGTTTGAAAGTTAGGGCCTTCCTCTCAGAATTTCTGAGCATGAAGAGGACTGAGGATGATAAAAGAACATCGTGGAGTCTCCTTCATTGAAGGTTTTTCAACAGAGGTTGCGTCGCCATCTAGCAGACTCTTTGAACCATTTCCAACTCCACAATTCTTTGGTTCTATGAAAGAAGACCTAGTTCATACTGTTTCACACCTTTGCTGCCTGATTACTGTGAAATGGGTTCATATTATGATGGCTTTATCTTGCAACGTTGGAGGTACCTATGAGATGCAATGTGGGGAGATCCATGACTGACAGGTCCTGTTACTCTTTGAAGGTCAGGGAAGTAACACTCTCAAAGAGAATATGTTCAGCTATAATTATTATTATTATTATTATTATTATTATTATTAATCTATTATTTGTTTCCCCAGCCACTCTGGGCGGCTTACAACAGAATATTAAAATACAATAGTCTATTAAACATTAAAAGCTTCCCTAAACAGGGCTGCCTTCAAATGTCTTCTAAAAGTCTGGTAGTTGTTGTTCTCTTTGACATCTGGTGGGAGGGCATTCCAGAGGGAGGGCGCCACTACTGAGAAGGCCCTCTGCCTGGTTCCCTGTAGCTTGGCTTCTCGCAGCGAGGGAACCGCCAGAAGGCCCTCGGCACTGGACCTCAGTGTCCAGGCAGAACGATGGGAATGGAGATGCTCCTTCAGGTATACTGGGCTGAGGCCGTTTAGGGCTTTAAAGGTCAGCACCAACACTTTGAATTGTGCTCGGAAACATACTGGGAGCCAGTGTAGGTCTTTCAAGACTGGTGTTATGTGGTTTCGGCGGCCGCTCCCAGTGACCAGTCTAGCTGCCGCATTCTGGATTAGTTGTAGTTTCCCTCTCCTAAGACCAAAGGTTGGCAACTCTGTGTTGATTGATACAGTTTTCCTCATTCAAGCAAAAGATTGTGCAGCAAGATATAAAAGAGTTAACTTCCAAAAAGCAACAATGCCTTGAATAAAAATAAATGGCTGGGGCATGGGAGATAATAAACTCTGCAGTGAAAAATTCCTGGAGGCGTTAAGAAGTTCTAATGTAATCATCCCCTGCGCTGTCAACTCAATAGATGGATGACTAAGCGAGGCCCATAGAAACTGGCACAGTTTACACATTTCATTAAAGAAAAAACATGTATAATGTTTTCTGGTCACTAGTTGGCTTGGCTTTTCTGATCTTGCAGTGGTTTCAGAAAACTCAGAGGGTTAGATGGAACATATACTGGGCTGTGGGAAGGGCAGCAGCAGCAGCAGCAGCACTTTATTAATCCCATGTATTGAGAAAAGTTGTTTTCTGCTGCTCCAGAGAAGCGGACACGGAGCAATGGATCCAAACTACAAGAAAGAAGATTCCACCTAAACATTAGGAAGAACTTCCTGACAGTAAGAGCTGTTCGACAGTGGAATTTGCTGCCAAGGAGTGTGGTGGAGTCTCCTTCTTTGGAGGTCTTTAAGCAGAGGCTTGACAGCCATATGTCAGGAGTGCTCTGATGGTGTTTCCTGCTTGGCAGGGGGTTGGACTCGATGGCCCTTGTGGTCTCTTCCAACTCTATGATTCTATGATTCTATGTATGTGTCGCAGGCTAGAAGACAAAATAATGTGGTTGTTTTCAAACTGTCATACAATGATGGAGCTTGTGATTTGCATCCATGTTTGATCTCTGGCATCTCCAGTAAAAAGGACTAGGCAGCAGGTCATGGGAGAGAGGTCTGCTGGACACCACGGAGAGCCACAATCAAACATGGCCAACCCTAAGGGAGAAGAAGACAACGGCCTCAAAGAATTATAGAGCTGACCTTAGCAGTCATCTAGCCTAACTCCCGGTAGTGATGTATGGAAGTGAGAGCTGAACCATAAAGGAGGCTGATCGCCGAAGAATTGGTGCTTTTGAATTATGGTGCTGGAGGAGACTCTTGAGAGTCCCATGGACTCCAAGAAGATCAAAGCTATCCATTCTGAAGGAAATCAGCCCTGAGTGCTCACTGGAAGGACAGATCTTGAAGCTGAGGCTCCAATACTTTGGCCACCTCATGAGAAGAGAAGACTCCTTGGAAAGACCCTGATGTTGGGAAAGATCAGGGAGACAAGGAGAAGGGGACGACAGAGGACGAGATGGTTGGACAGTGTTCCAGCTTGAGTTTGACCAAACTGCGGGAGGAAGACAGGAGTGCCTGATGTATTCTGGTCCATGGGGTCACGAAGAGTCGGACACGACTAAACGACTAAACAACAACAAGCCTAACTCCTAGCTCAGTGCAAGATCTACAGTGCAAGCTGGAGGAGGAGAAGTGTGCAGAGGCCCGGTGGACGGTTCAGTTGTCCTCAGTACCTTAATTCATGGTGACTATGGATGAAAGTTTGGTCTTTTCTGAATTCTAGTCCTGCCAGACAGGGTGAGGCAGTTGTTCCCTTAGTGGTGCTATGTGCTGCATGAAGTCTAGATCAGTTTTTGACACACCACTACCAGTGTTCCCGTTGCTCTGTTTGCAGTTGCACACAGAAAATGCAGAGAGAGGATGAATTCATCTCTTCGCACCTTGCAGCATCCTGCACAGGCACAAGCCATGTCAGAGTCTTTGTGAGTGCACCAATTTCCTAATCAGCGGAACAGCCATCATCCCAAAATGGCTGTAGGAATCGACCCACTGAAATTTATTTATGTTTCCATTGTAGGCTTCCTTTCTATAAAAAGGAAGTCGTTCTTGATGTAGCGCATAGTTAAATGATAGAACTTGCTCCTTCAGGGGGCAGTGATGGCCACCAAGTTGGGTGGATAGCTTTTAAAGAATATTAGATGGATTCATTGAGGACAAGCCTATCCACATGTTCTGCTTGGGTGACATGCATGGGGATGCAGTCTGGGTGGCTTCTAATCTAGGCACTTATCTTGCTTGGCTTTAGCAAGGTTGCCGCTTTAGACCATGCCCTGGGCCCAAATACAGGGATTTGTACAAAAGCACAACTGTGCAAGCCTTGCACATCTTGCCCTTGGATCAATAAGCCGGTTTCCACTTGAGAAATTGATCCAATGAAGTTTAAAAGCAAAAAAGAACCCCAACAAGTTAGTATTCCCATATATCTCTTTCTACAGTGCTGCCCTCTTGTGTTGTTTAAGTTTTAAACTTTTCTCTTTGTGGACAGGTGTGGGGTTTTTTGCTTAGTAGGAAACTCACAAAACCATGCATTGATTCTCCTCAGTTGTACAAAAATCACACTAGCCTCTCACAAAATAACAGCAAATACAATTTGTACTAATAGCCTTTGGCAACCTTCCATATTCCTGGTAATGATTTTCCAGGGTTTGTCTGTGTGAAAGTAAGGATAATACTTTGAGTCTGCGATCAGCCTCAGAGATGTGATGTGGGGCTCAAAGTTGCCCAGCAGCATCTCAGTTTCCACAGTCCAGGGACAGTGTAGACACCAGAACATCTGGAGACAGATGATTCTTAGACATTTGCAAGGTGTGCTGACTGAAGCTACTTGATATTAACCCACAACCTGGTGGATTGCAGTGAGTTTATTTATCGTGACCATGCCATAGGGCTATCATAGGGATAGCCCTATGGCATGCCATAGGGATATGTGAATATTTCATCATGAAGATGGTACAGCTAGGGGGCCAAAGTCCAAGATACCCAGATGACCAGCCAGAGAGCATCGGGTGATGGAGGCAGCAGCAAATAGGCTCAACACCTAGGTTGGCATACACACACTGAGATCCACCAAAGCTGTTTCACTATCCTTTCTCTATCCTTATTTTGACTCTAGTTGCCTCAACAACATGCAGGTGGTCAGACATGTATATGGTTGCATATTCTCATAGTAAGTCTGCAAATTCTGTGAGGGATATGTTCTGGGGATCATACCTAAAGTCAAAATCATGTACAGTAGTACCTCTGGTTGCGAACGGGATCCATTCTGGAGGCCCGTTCGCAACATGAAAATCCAGCAACCTGAAGCACCATATCTGCGCAGGTGTGCGGCACAATTTGGCGCTTGTGCAAAGCATGATTTAGCGCTTCTGTGCATGCGCGAGCAGCGAAACCTGGAAGTAACCCTTTCCGGTACTTCTGGGTCGCCACAGGATGCAACTTGAAAAAACGTATCATGAAGCAAATGTAACATGCGGTATGACTGTATAGTCAAAACCCAGTGGGCTCAGTGGTGGAAGGGTTTGCCACGGTCATTTTCCCCGGAACCCCACCTCTTTTAATATTTTTAAAAAATATTATTTTGCCATGCTCATAAAGCTGAATGCACACAAGTTAAACGCACATAAGGTGGGGGGTTACTGTACACTATTGCGTAAAATTTAAGAACATTTATACCACCTGAATACGTAAAGGGGGGAGCCTTTTCTTCCACGGTTACTTTTGATGCGCAACGCATAAAAGAGGCAAACTTATAAATGCAGGATTGAAAGCTGGACTCCAACCTTTGTTAGCATAAGTTGCAGGCCAACATATGGAAAGAGAAATAAGAAAAGGCCAACTTTCTTTTTAGGGAGGATTGCTAAATGTACGACCTCGTTGCATCTCTCTCTCACACACACCCTTGGTCCCAAATGCATATTTCTGCTAACCACCTTGCTTGCAATTGCATATGATATGATATGTTTCTGTTCTCTCTCTCTCTTTCCAATTTAGAAATTGTCCGGGCGATGACTCATGTGATAAACCAAGGCATGGCCATGTACTGGGGAACTTCCCGATGGAGTGCCATGGAAATAATGGTAAGGTAGCTTTGCGAGAGGATCCAGTGTTATTAGAGCTGCAAGCATTGAAACAGCGCCAGGTGTGATGTGTGGAATTGCCATGGTCTGCTCCCTCATTTTTTACGGGGCATCCACACAGTGCCATCGTCCAATCATTGCCTTCCTGTATTTTTCTTCCGATTCTTCAGTCTTTTCCCAGGCTCCAAAAAGTCTAGCTTTTTTAGAAGAAGAGAAGAACATAGCTGGTAGAGACCCCCATAGCTTCTCTTTATTATTATTATTATTATTATTATTATTATTATTATTATTATTATTATTATTTAAAAGGTTGTAGTTTTGATGTGTGCAGTTAAATATTAAGACAGTAACCCTATTGCCAAAACCAACTGCCCGCTGAGCACACCTTTGCTATTGCTTTTTCACTCCTGTTATCACTTAAGTTTTATTTATCCTAAAGTCTCTTTAAGCACGGGTCCATCTATATACTTTTTTAAAGTTCAGCAATAGCTCCATAACACATTTTAAAATGATTTTTAAAAAACAAATGGACTCCCCACTGCCTTCCTACTCGCTGTCATTTTAGTGCATTTTTCTCTAGATAAGTGCTTCCAATCTGCACTTCCAGTCCAAATGTTAAAAACTTTGTGTTGGTTTTTTAAAAAATGTTTTGTGTTCAGCAACGGGCAATCGAGTTTGAACCAATAAGGACATGAATGCATAAGCACTTAGCACTAATTCAATATTTGGTTATTATTTTTAAGCATCACTTTAGACAGACAGACAGACAGACAGACAGACAGACAGACAGACAGACAGAAGACTGCCCAAGTAAATTGGAAAATAGCATTTCCCACCCTCAGCAGCTGTGCTGTGCTCATTGGGAAATTACTACTACTACTACTACTACTACTACTAGAATTATTATTATTATTAATTTAGTTATTTACAGGGACTCAGGGAACATACCAGCATGGGCGCACAGTAAAAGCGCAATGCCCCTAACAGTACAAAAGGCAATCTGAAAACCAGCTTGCAATGGGAAAGCATTCATTAGCAGTGTTTGTGTTCCTGGTTCCTCTGTTTTCTAAACCACTTAGAAGTCTATTTTGGCACTAAACAGTATATTAATTAATTAATTAATCAGATTAAGTTGCGGTAGCAGCAGCTCTAGGAGCCACCTACTTGGAAGCAATCCAAAATTCGACAGTCCACACCCCTTTCGCTGTGGTAGGTAGTGTGATCATTGGTGGGGTGGGGGGTGGATAGGAATCTCGAAAGGGTTGATGAAATCTACATAGACATGCATATAAGAAAAATAATTCAAGAGAAGAAAAGCAGGCTGCATATGTTTGTGGTACAGGCAGGTGCTTTTAAGTGATGCCTTGTCGCAAGCAGGACAGAAGATGTTCCCTGTCATTTGCACAGTCGTACCTTGGTTCTCGAATGGAATCTGGTCCAGAAATCCGTTTGACGTCCAAAAACGTTTGAAAACCAAGGCGCAGCTTCCGATTGGCTGCAGGTGCTTCCTGCACTCAATCAGAAGCCGTGTAAGCCGTGTTGGACATTCACCCTACAAAAATCATTCTCAAACCTCACTTCCGAGTTTGCGGCATTCAGGAGCCAAAACATTCGATTGGCAAGGCATTCAAGAACCAAGGTATGACTGTAGTTGTGTGTGTTTTTTAAGGGCTTCCAGTTAATCCGATGTTCTTTTAATCAATTTGTTCAATTGTATTAAACATTGCACCCCTAATAAAACATCTGTATTGTGTACTGCCTTGGAAAGAGTTGATTTGATTAATGCTCCGTCATTTCTCCCAGGAGAACTCTCCGCTAATGTGCTATTCTTTTTTTGCTGACTCTCCACAGGAAGCCTATTCTGTAGCGAGGCAGTTTAATATGATTCCACCTGTGTGCGAACAAGCAGAATACCACCTTTTCCAAAGAGAGAAAGTAGAGGTTCAGTTGCCGGAACTGTATCACAAGATAGGTAATGTCAGAAATGCTGTATTGTTAATATTCGCGAGGGAATGAGGAACGAATCATTTCTATGCAAAAGGTGTCTGCTCGGAAAATATTTCATAGCCCCTGCTGTTCAATAATTATCAGAGGTGCAATTAGTCTCTTGCCAGCAGCAATTATCCCTGTGCGAAGAGGTAAGTGACAGCATGTCTGCCAGGCTTCTTCAATGGCTTTCCTCTGTAATTTATTATTATAATAAATACAGTGTCATCAGAACCCTATATAGCAGGTCCATAGTGTGAGGCTAAAGAAGCAGAATGCTTAACTACAATGTTCTAGTTACTAGGGAGAAAGCCTCTTTGAAAATAGTAGAGTTTACTTCCAAGTGGGTGAAAAGATAAAGGACCCCTGGACGGTTAAGTCTGGTCAAAGGTGACTATGGGGTTGTGGCGCTCATCTCACTTTCAGGCCGAGGGAGCCGACATTTGTCCACAGACAGCTTTCTGGGTCATGTGGCCAGCATGACTAAACCGCTTCTGGTGCAATGGAACACCACGATGGAAGCCAGAGCGCACGGAAATGCTGTTTCCCTTCCTGCTGCAGTGGTACCTATTTATCTACTTGCATTGGTGTGCTTTTGAACTGCTAGGTTGGCATAAGCTGGGACAGAGGAGCGGGAGCTCACCCCGTCATGTGGACTCGAACCGCCAACCTTCTGATCAGCAAGTCCAAGAGGCTAAGTGGTTTAGACCAGGGATCAGTAAACATTTTCAGCAGGGGGAATTTTAAATAAAAACATACATTCTACTCATGTAAAAACACCAGGCAGGCCCCACAAATCACCCAGAGATGCATTTTAAATAAAAGGACACATTCTACTCATGTAAAAACAAGCTGATTCCTGGACCGTCTGTGGGCTGGATTGAGAAGGCGATTGGGCCAGATCCGGACCCTGGGCATTAGTTTGCTTACCCATGGTTTAGACCACTGCACCACCCACATCCACATACAAGTAAATATGGGGAGCCCCACAGTGGCACAATGGGTCAAAGCATCTGGCTATTAACCAGAAGTTTGGTGGTTCGAGCCCACGCAGGAACATCAGTGGGCAGGATTCCTGCATTGCTTGGGGTTGGACTAGATGAACCCCGGGGTCCCTTCCTACTCTTACACTTCTGTGGTTCTGTGCAGAGGATTACATAGAGTACTACCCTAGACATCTCTCCTGCTCCTTCAGACCCAGGTATGGAACGTGTGTGATCACTGCTTCACTGTCATGAGCTGGAATAGCTCAATCAGTAGAGCATGAGACTCTTAATCTCAGGGTCGTGGGTTCAAGCCCCGTATTGGGCAAAAGATCCCTGCATTGCAGGGGGTTAGACTAGATGGCCCTCGTTGTCCCTTCCAACTCTACAATTCTATGATTCAACTGTGTCACCATTGATGGAAGTCATCTACCAATTTCCAGTCTACAAGTTTCTCATTTGTCCAGTGGCCTAGGACCCACGTACCTACGGGACCGCCTCTCCAGGTATGCCCCGCGGAGGACCTTAAGGTCCACAAATGACAACAATTTGGAGGTCCCAGGTCACAAGGTGGTTAGATTGGTCTCAACTCAATTGGTCTCAACTGAAAAGCCTTTTCAGTACTGACCCCGACTTGGTGGAACGCTCTGTCACAAGAGACTAGGGCCCTGCGGGACTTGACATCTTTCCGCAGGGCCTGCAAGACAGAGCTGTTCCACCTGGCCTTTGGTTTGGACTCAGTCTGACCCTTATGTTGCCCTCCCCTTATGATCTTGAGCTATTGGCTACTTTTAAAATGAGGCTGCATTTTAAATTGCATTTTAACCTGTATTTCAAATTCGTTTTTCTCCCCCTGTTATGTTTTTACTGTGATTTTATTGGTTTTAGCTGCCCTGAGGGAGGGCGGTGTATAAATAAATAAAAAAAATCATTTATTTATTTATTGATTGATTGATTGATTGACTGATTGTTAAATTCAGTCTGCAGCAATTTGCTATTCTTTTTTAAAATCCTCATAAACATTCTTCAGCATTTTAGTGCAGTTTTGACTCATGTGCACTTTTTTGCAAGCAATTTTTCCTAATGTAATGCATTTTTGTGTGGCTTTACCCCTGCAAATGTATTCGTCATTAATAGCACACTTTACTCTAATCTATGCATTTTTGGAAACATGGCTGCCACTCTGGAAAAAGGTCCTGGAGATGCACTCTCCCACATTCCCCCTCCACTATGCCACGGCCAATGAGATGTATCTAGGAAACTCATGAGCAGAGCATGAGGGCAATAGGCTCTGGTATTAATTTACAAGGCCCTTAATAACTTGGGCCCAGGGTACCTCAAGGACCACCTAATCCCTAATATCCCTGCCCAGTAATTGAAGTCTTCAGTGTTAGCAGTCCCCCATGGCTCAGATGTGCATCTCAGATGCTCCAGAAGCCATGCATTTATTGTTGTGGGTCCAATTTTATGGAACAATCTTCCAGCTGAGGTCAGACAGCACCTCCCACCACCTCCTGTGCAGCTTCTAGCTCCTACTGAAGACTTTTTTATTATTATTCCAGCAGGCATTTTATCTTGGAGTCTGATTTTATAGTTTAAAATGATGTTTCCCTTTTCTGTATTGTATTTCTTGTACACCACTTACAAGTCCAGCAATATAGAAATTGTTTAGATCACTAAAAAAAAATAAAAAATAGTTCTCTCCCCTTGTTGCTTCCCAGCAACTAATATTCACTGCCTTTCAAGAGAGGCAGTGAATCATTCAGTCTTCATGATTCAGTCTTCATGATTGACAGCCACCAGCAGACCCACCCTCCTCCACAAATTTGCCTTCTTCCCCTCCGAAAGCCATCCGAGTTTGCATCCATCGCAATGTCCCGTGCCGATGAATTTCATGTTTTAATTATGCTTTGTGGGAAGAATTGCTTGTTTCTGCCTCTCCTGAACCTCCTGCCAATCAGTTTCACTCGGGGGCAGCTTGCCCAGCAATGGAGTCACTGTCGCTTACTAAGAGGTGGAAGCTGTGCCGAGGCTGCTGTGGGAATACTGAATCAGCTTTGCTGGGGAATCCGCACAAGAGACAGCCTTCATCCCTCTCCCTCCCTCTCCCAGTAAAGCAGCACTGGTCCCACTGTCAGGAATCTGCTGTGGTTCTGCCGACTAAGCAATGGTTCCATTGAATGCTCCCAATTTCTATTATTATGAAGGAGGGAGGAAAACATCTCTCTTTCTCCACACCATCTGTAATTTGATAAAACTATATCATGTCGTCTCCAGCCCTCCAGCCCCTGGAAGCTCAACCTTCTGTTTTTCTAAACTGTAAAGGCCAAATGATGTAGTTTTTCCTCATAGCAAAGGTACTTTGGTCATTTGTGGTATATATTTGCTTTTATTTGCTTATGTAATCCATAACACACATGTTGTGTGTGTGTGTGTGTGTGTGTGAGAGAGAGAGAGAGAGAGGGAGGGAGGGAGGTGTCTATAGGATCTTGTTAACATTAGAGCGGTACCTCGGGTTAAGTACTTCATTCCTTCCGGAGGTCTGTTCTTAACCTGAAACTGTTCTTAACCTGAAGCACCACTTTAGCTAATGGGGCCTGCTGCCACGCTGCCGGAGCACGATTTCTGTTCTCATCCTGAAGCAAAGTTCTTAACCCGAGGTACTATTTCTGGGTTAGCGGAGTCTGTAACCTGAAGCATCTGTAACCTGAAGCGTATGTAACCCGGGGTACTACTGTATCTCAGTGTTATCTCTTGTCTGATTGGTTGTTCTGCAGGAGTTGGAGCAATGACGTGGTCCCCTCTCGCCTGTGGGATTGTCTCAGGGAAATACGCCAATGGAATTCCCGAAAGCTCAAGGGCTTCTTTGAAGGTATTTCCCCCATGCTAACCACTTATACGATCACGATGTATTTTTCCCCGTGCTCTAGAGAAACGTTTTTTCTGAGCTCAGGATGGTAGGTGAAAAGTGTGAAGGTGCGCATGTTTGAATGATGGCAAGAATTTCCCCTGAGATCTACAAGTAAAGGGCGGTATACAAATTTAATAAATAGCAACAACAATAATAATTCCCTTGACAATCAAGATTTCAGCATTAATGAGAACATTGTTGCTGAGGTCTACGCCCAGTATGACTAGCAGTAGATACAAGCCTATCCCATTGCTACCATTTTGATTTTATTCATAAACTGGATGGAGATTCTAATTTCATTAAGTATTCTTGGAGAACATCCAAGTTGCCTGTTACATACTGTACATATTTCCATGTTATCTCTTCTTGCTTCCCTGATTATTAAGATTCGTGGTGTGGGGCTAGATAAGAATACATGATAGGCTTTCACTACGCAAGAGGTGGAGGTGGAGGAGACCTAGAGACAGTTTAAACTTTTCCATGGCTGTGCATCTTTGCACCACATTGGGATGCAATTGAACAGTTGGCCAGCTGTGTGCTGCTACACATTTTTGCCTCTGACACCATCCACCACTTGCCCATGGCCCCCAATGGTAGCCCACAAGGGAAGGAATGCATCTCTCAGGCTGAAAAAGGTTTTCCAACCTTGATATATATACTGAAGACCAACAGATGTCCCTCCTCAGCCTTTAGTCTGCTCTGAAACACTTAGATCAGTGTTTTCGTTCCTGGCGTTATTGATTAAATCAAGCTGGCATGTCAGCCACAAATTGTATCCAGAATTGCTTCTAAGCCTTTTTAAAGGAAACTTAACAAGGACATATTGACATGAATTGCCCAGACACATTGACTGGCTGCTGTTGCAGCCTGTTTAGTATAGCCTGTTATCTGTGACATACTGTCACTGTTGCCAACCCACCCACCCCCATGCCCCTCACAGCAACCTTGTTTGACATTTTGAAGGATGGCAGCACACTGAAATCATTGTGGTATGTTTGAAAGAAATCATCAAAGTTCCACGTGTTTAAGGAAAATGGATTTGTCCAGCACTAAAGATTTGCGGCCAAAGGATAACTGAGTGTTTGTTTGTTTGCTTGCTGGCTCTGCGAGTGAGAGCCAGGAGCTCATTTCTCCCCCGTTTCTCCCCAGAGCGTAGCATTCATAAACTCAATGAGCTCCTCATAGAGCCAGTGTGGTGTAATGGTTAAGAGCGGTAGACTCATAATCTGGGGAACCGGCTTCGATTCCCCGCTCCTCCACATGCAGCTGCTGGGTGACCTTGGGCCAGTCACACTTCTCTGAAGTCTCTCAGCCCCACTCACCTCACAGAGTGTTTGTTGTAAGGGAGGAAGGGAAAGGAGAATGTTAGCCGCTTTGAGACTCCTGAAGGGGAGTGAAAGGCGGGATATCAAATCCAAACTCTTCTTCTTTCACCCAGAGAGCACTAAAACATTGGAAAACAAGTACTGCCCAAGTACTGCTCCTAGAGTTGGCCAATATGTCATACCAGAGGCAGCTGCAGCCCAGTTTCCCATCTCTCTGCCATAATGTTTAGTGTTCACTGCATGTGCTCAAGCTATTGCATGTTGCACATTGCACCCTGCCATTGCTGATGGGGAAATGCTATTCCATGGCCTCAGCTTACACAGTGAGTTGCCAGCACCCTTGGCAGTTGTGACATAGAGAGCAGCTCTAACAGGGCAGTGCATGATTTAAATTGCAGGGTTCTAAGGTTTGTCTTCCTTTTAACATCTTGTTGTCTTCTGTTTCCCCAGTGCTATCAGTGGCTAAAGGAGAAGATTGTGAGCGAGGAGGGGAGAAAACAACAGTCGAAGCTGAAAGATCTCTTCCCCATTGCTGAACGCCTCGGATGCACCCTACCTCAGCTGGCTGTTGGTGAGTGATTCTGGGAGTCCCCCTCTGGGCACTTCCAAATGTCTTTTGCATTGTATATTCATAACTATTTGTATTCATGCTGCTATCAGCGAAGTCAGACACAACTCCGCATTCCATACTGTTTGTGCCTGCTCGGGTTTTGGGGCAGTCACACTGCTTCACTTCCAATCAGTGCATATCGTGTAACTTTCTGCTGAAATCCTGTAACTTTTCATACCACAAATGTTGGAGGGTGGGGTGGAGAAGCCCCATAATCCACCACTAATGAAAGCACGTCAAAGCGCAAGTAGGGAAGGTAAACGGCGGGAAGGTAAACAGCATTTCCGTGCGCTGCTCTGGTTCGCCAGAAGCGGCTAAGTCATGCTGGCCACATGACCCAGAAACTGTACGCCGGCTCCCTCGGCCAATAAAGCGAGATGAGCACCGCAACCCCAGAGTCGTCCGCAACTGGACCTAATGGTCAGGGGTCCCTTTACCTTTTCCTTTAATGGACTATTATTATGTCAAGAACACATAGACAAATACACCCCCCCCAAAGAAACCTATATCATTAGTGATGTTCAGTCGGGCTGGCACTGTGAGCTACTTGCGGTGCAAAGGAGGTACTTATCCAGTGCCTTTTTTGAGAGTTGGTCGCAGTGGTCTTCAATAGCTAATTTTATTTATGCATTTACCTAAATCGTTTCTAGACTGCTTTTCCAAAGCTGAGGGTGGCATAAAGAAACAACACCCAACTTAATCAAGCTTCTTATGATCAATTAAGGTTCATAGGAAGCTATTATATACAGTCGTACCTTGGTTTTCGAATGTGTTCCGGAAGTCCATTCAGCTTCCAAAAAATGTTCGGAAACTGGAACACTCACTTTTGAGTTTTGATCATTCGGGAGCCGAAACATATGAGTACCAAGGTGTTCAATAACCAAGGTATGACTGTACAGAGTTCTTTGGACCATCAAGGTCAGTATTGACCCAAAGTGGCTGGGGAAACCCAGCCAGATGGGCAGGGTATAAATAATAAATGGTTGTTGTTGTTCTCTAGCATTTCAGACAGAGTTCTCTCCCAGCCCTACTTAGAGATGCATGCCTAGGAATGAGCCTAAGACCTTTTGCTCTACCACTGAACCATGCCCCTTCTCCTATGAGTTTCAGCTGGTTTATGGTTATTGATTACATTTGCATATATTTACTTAAGGGGTAAAAACCGTATTTCTGAAGTAGGAAGCGTACGTGTTTCTAGGTAATGTGCACCACATTGTCATAGCAAGCATAATCTTAGAAGGTCCCTACTATGTGAAAGAAAAGGGGAATGCTCTTTTAAGATAGTACTTGCCTTAAAAATATTTTTTTAAAAAAAGAAAAACCTGCTGGCTGATTAAATTAGGGACACTATTTGGCTGATTAAAAGGGTTTAATCAAACAATCATTAACAAATTAAACATTAATTAATTGCAACCCTGATTAAAACAAATTGAGTGTACCATGAAATCCTAAGAAACAGATGCAGCAGCCCTTTGGGAAAGAGGCTAAAAGACTTGCCAGTGAAGAGGAAAAGCTATGGGGGGTCTTCCAGATGTTGTTGGACAACTGTTCCCAACGTCACTGACCACTGGATATGTTGGCTGGGGCTGATGGGAGTTGAAGTTCCACATCTGGCAGGAACCACGTCAACTATCCCTGATTTAGAAGGAAGTCCTTTCAAAACACTAGGACAGTTCACAGTTAGGGCAATAAAGATAAATCCCCTTGTAACTGAGATAATTCCCACAAAGCAGAATCTGATTAAATAACAGCTTCTGGCAGGGGATAACTGTTCTTCTCATATTTGCAAAGGACGTTGCCATGACTGACAGAGGCAAAATAATGTACTGATTTAGACTTGGGTTTTTCAGGCTGAAGTGGGACACACACTGGCCCCTGGTCCCTCACTGATTCTCAGCACGGGTGTTCTCAGCTCCTGTGGTTTTGCTCTTGCAAGTAGGGATGAGCCAATCTGCCAATTTTTGTTCCTCTCACTTTCCAAATTTTATCAGTTCTCCACACTTCCACATCAGTTAGCAATTCTAATAAAAGTCCTTGTGAAATTTCATCTCCATTTTAGTGAATTCAATCTAATATGCATGTATCTGTACGCAGTTTTGCCAAATTCACACATTTTTTGCAAAGCCGTTTCCCCCAACATAATTCATTTTTTTTCACTGATTTGTGCAATTTTATGTACACTTTACTCCAGTACATGCATTTTTGTATGTGTTACTTGACTTGATAACTGCATTGCAAAATTCAAAGAATTGCGAAATTTGAAGATTGCTTTTGTTTTAATTCACACCTTGTTTCGGGCAGCACAAATTAGGTAAGTTTACCTAAAAAATGTTAACTGGATCAAACTTCTCTCCGATTTCCACTTGCAAGTCCCTCCCAATATGGATGCAAGCCAAATCTTCAGGTGACCCACAGAGACCTAGCGGGGAATGAATGTATGATGCTGCCTTAAACTGAATCAGAACATTTCTCTATGTAGCCCAGTGCTGTTTATTCTAGCAGTAGAGCTCCTGGGTGTCTCAGGCAGATATATCCTCCGACTCTGAGACCCTTTTAATTGGAGATGCCAAGAACCAAGCCAGGGATCTTCTGCCAGAAAAGAAATGCTCTACCCCTGACCTGTGATTTATCCCCTAATTTCCTTCCACCTGCTGCTGCAGTAAAAATGCTGTCTTTTCCCAGGATGTCTATTGTTTTACCCAACAATTCAGCAAGCCTGGTTATGGAATGCAAATATGTACAAAGTCATCCAAGTACCTTGCCGGATACTGGATACAGCTACTGGCTGCATTATCTTTGGGGGTGGGAAGAATAGCTGTTTTTATGGACGACAGCAACAAAGTTGGGCTAGCGATTACTATGAAATAATCATGAGCAGGACTGGATTTTTTCCCTTTTAATCTCCCCACCCCCCCAGCACAGTTCCTTCCCAACAGCTGTGTAGCCCTGATTGACTCAGGCTGCGAAAATAGAGCTAACACAGCGCAGAAATTCAAGAGAGACCATTAATCATGTTTAACTGTGCTGTCTCGTTCTTGCCTTGGCAAAGACACGATTTAAATGTTTCACAGGGATGACGGGGTGGGAGATAAATGGTCTGATGAAGTTCAAATATCACTTCTGGCCCTGGCAGATGACTTTTCAAAAAAAAATCAGCTAATACATTCAGTGCAGGAATAAGTTTAAAACAAAACAAAACAATCCAGATTCTGTAGCAGCCAGCAAGATGGGGCAGTGCTGGTTACGTGGCTTCCGAATGCTGAGGTCACTGCTGGTAGCTGAGAGGGGCGAGACACTAGGGAGGCAGGCATGGTGCGGACACAGGTAAAGGGACCCCTGACCATTAGGTCCAGTCGTGACCGACTCTGGGGTTGCGGCGCTCATCTTGCTTTATTGGCTGAGGGAGCCGGCGTACAGCTTCTGGGTCATGTGGCCAGCATGACTAAGCTGCTTCTGGCGAACCAGAGCAGCTCACGGAAACGCCGTTTACCTTCCCGCTGGAGCGGTACCTATTTATCTACATGCACTTTGATGTGCTTTCGAACTGCTAGGTTGGCAGGAGCAGGGACCGAGCAATGGGAGCTCACCCCGTTGCGGGGATTTGAACCGCCGACCTTCTGATCGGCAAGTCCTAGGCTCTGTAGTTTAACCCACAGCGCCACCTGCGGACACAGAGGTGAAGCTAATTCCCTGCTCCTGCCATAGCACCTGCACCGCACCAACCTGCCCATCACATCCGTCTCTTTCTGTCAGTTACCAGAAGCGTCCTCCACATTGGGAAACCAGGTAAGCAATGCGGCCCAATCCCACTTCTCTGGATGCTGGCTAGACAATGTAAGCCATGAAGCGCTCATCACAGTTTTGCAAACCAGCAAAGGAACAAGCTTCTCGTCATCTGCAACCGGGGAGAAAGCAAAGGCAGTATGTGGTGACAATGAACGTTCCCCAGAAGCCAGTAGCCCAAAGTGGCTGCACAGAATAGATTTCGGTTCACCTCGGCACCATCACCTGTGTGCTCCTAATTTCATTTATTTTGTTGCTCTGCCTGCTTTTTGCTTCTGGCTCTACCTACCTCTGACATGTGGCCCTTGGGAAAGCTGCCTAGAGAGGGAATGTGGCCCTTGAGCTGAAAAGGTGTCCTGTTACAGTACGGAATGTCCAGAGGGCAGAATTAAGTGTATTGTCAAAAGTACAATTGCAAGTTAGGAAAAGCCATGTCTATCAGTTGTAGGTCCCTCAGCTACTCCTAGCCGTGCACTCGATGAGGCTGTTGCAGCAACAGAGAGGCCTCAGGTTATGTATCTTCCCCACCTGAGCTACACACAAGCAGGTGAAGACTGTGTCAGCATGCAACCTGCTTCTGCTCCTCCCACTTCGATCTTCTTCTGGTCCTGGGAGACAGCAGAGCAGGAGAGGTGCGGGCAGAAGGAGGAGATATGGAAGCCTTTAACACTACAGCAGCCTGATTTATCTCTTCCTCCTCCTGCACCTGTTCTTCATTCTTCAACCCTGTAGCTTCTCCTGCCCCTGACTCTCGTCTCCTGGCTGTTACAGGTTCCCCCAGGTCACTGACCCAAGTCAGTCTGCAACACCCCATTCTCCCAATGTCCTCTCCTCTGTACACAGTGACCACTCTTCAGTGGCTAGCCCAGGGGTCAGCAAAATTTTTTAGCACTGTCCCTCAGACCTTGTGGGGGGCCAGACTCTATTTGGGGGGGGTGGGAATGAACAAATTTCTATGCCCCACAAATAACCCAGAGATGCATTTTAAATAAAAGAACACATTTTACTTATGTAAAATGATTCCCGGACCATCCGCGGGCCAGATTCAGAAGGCAGTTGGGTCGGATCCGGCCCCCGGGCCTTAGTTTGCCTACCCATGGTCTAGCCTGTCCCTGACAGGTCCCTGCAATAGATATAGCAAATGGTGCATAAGCAAGTTTTGTTTGTAGCCAAAGGCCACATAATTTTTCTTCTTCTTATCACAGCGGTGTTAAAAAAAAAAACCTATCTGGAAAAATGTCTGAATGATAAGGTCTTAACCACTGCATGAGATAAGCCTCTGAACTAAGGTTGCTCACCAGCATCAACCGATACCAGCCCTAACACAGCCATGGGCTTTTCTGTCTTCCCAGCTTGGTGTCTACGTAACGAGGGTGTGAGCTCTGTCCTCTTAGGATCTTCCAATCCGGAGCAGCTAATAGAGAATCTTGGTGCCATACAGGCAAGTACAAAATCCTGCTTTGTGATGAGCCGAAGCAAATGGATGATCAAAATAGGCAAATTTATTCAAATGTATGCAAATTCTGAACACAGCGCATAACCCATCTTTACCTGCATTCCTTTGGAGAAAAATGTCATTTTTGTTTTAATTTGTGAACTGAAAGCACATAATGATCCTGAACGTATCCTGCCCGCTTTTATGCTTACAGGTTCTTCCGAAGATGACGTCCCACATTGTGAACGAGATCGATAACATCTTGGGAAACAAACCTTACAGCAAGAAGGACTACAGATCCTAATGCATTGCATGATTAAACTGGACTGCATGGCTAAAATAGCGCTCTGTACTTAGTACAGTACCAAGTCAATAATATCCTGATTAGAATTATTCGGCAGTCTCTGTTGTTTACTAGATTCTCCAAGGCGGCGTGCTGCGCCGGAATCCAAAAGCACAGCCGATCTCTCTTTACAGCTGAGATCGCCTTTGCTTTTTCGCTCCTTCTTCTTTTGTACTACAGTCAGATTTTCCAGCACAAGCCCTGTTGAAACGAAGGAGATCCTGCAGGACATTGTGCGCTAGCATTCATTTCCGCAGAGTTTGTGCACAACTTCTTGCCGGGTCGTGCCTGCTCCCTGTTGACCCTTCTTATCCTCTCGGCACTTCCCATTTATGCAGTGAAAATACACATTGTAAAGAAACAATAAAAGATTTCTTCTAAGCTTTAGTTACTTGGAAATTAGAAGAAGGATGTACAGATATATTTTTTCAACGAACACAAAAGCCAGATACAGGTATAGGTCAAAGACGCATATCAGACAATTTCAAGCATAAAAATTCTTCGAGCTATCTTGAAGATGAGTAAGTTTGGGTGTGTTTTTTTTCCATTTGCATTTTTTTATGCTGAATCTGAGTTCTAGGGTACTAGCCTAGTTTGGACTCTGTTTAGGGGAGTACGGGCTGTCCATTTAAAGGCAGAAAAATCAAAGAATTACAGAGGATGGCATCTTTGCCTTCCAGTTATTTTAGGATTTCAGAGGCAGGTTGTATATGGTAGCTCCAGATTCACTGGTGGGGTGGGGAATGGACTCGATCCATCCAAAGCTAAGCAACCATTGGCTACACTTCTGTGCACACTTACCAGGGAGTATGTAAACCCTATTGAACACACTGGGATTTAATTCCAAGGAAAAGTGCACAGGATTGGATGCATATGCTCTAACACTCCCCATTTCGGGGGTTGGGGAGACTTCACAGTGCTTAACTTAAGCTGGATTGTAGCCATTAGCTTTACGGCATTTAAAAATAAAAAGAGTAAAGGTTGTAGTTCTATCACCTGCTTAAAGCAGAGGTGGTTTACCTTCGGCTCACCAGATGTTGCTGGAAAACAGCACCAATTTATCCTTAACTGCTGGCCATAGTGGTTGATAGGAGCTGGGAGTCCAAAAACATCTGGAGAGGGCCACATGTTCCCCCTTAGAGGTTTGCACCATCAGAACAGAGGTCCCCCCCCACCTGAGTCAACGTGCTTAGGATCAGGCTGAAAGAGGCTAGGCTAGGCAAGAAAAATTCACATAATCATTTTGCTGCTGCAAAAACGGAAATAAAAAATGCCATACATTTAATGCTGTTTTATTAGAACCTGCTTTACTTTTGGCAGCTTGTAGACGTAGTTACTGCAACTTTGATTACTTAACCTTAACTAATATAATGTATAATAAATGTACAAAATGTGCAGAGTTGTACAATTTTCTGAAGGTGTACTGGAAAGGGTTTCATTTCCCCTTTTGTACCTCCATCGAAAAGCCTGATGCGGTTTGTAAGCACTTCATCACAGTTTAATGGATCCCAGGAAATGTTATGTTTGCCCAATCTCCTCTGCCTTTTCTCACTTTCGTTTCCAAACTGTATTTGGGATCATCATTACATCATGGGTTTTGGTTCCCAGTCTTTGTTTTGGCACATGTGGTTTTCAGTGATCTTGTGCTGCTGAATGGTAAGCATTGCCAAGCACTGGACTTAACATGCACATGCCAATGGCACAGGATGGCCTGTGATGGACAAGAGCATCTTGATGCAACAAGAGCATCTTTTTTTAAGTACCAGTGGTGGGATGCCAAAAACATCAAGCTTTGCCAAGTGCAAATGGAAGCTGGCTGGTTTGGGCAAGCTCCTTTAGCAGTGTAGCTAGAAGTCGGCATTACTGAAAATTGCAAGTGTTGTGTGTAAATCAGCCCATAAGCATCAGCAATCAAAGAGCTAGAAAGAGTCTAGAACAGCTTTCCCCAACCTGGTGCCCTCCAATGTTTTGGAGTTTTGGAGTACAAGATCCATCTGGAGTACAAGATCCATCTGCCCTAGGCAGCGCAGCCAGGTAGAAGGCTGATCCCACACCATTCTGCTCTTGAAAGCAATCATTTGATGGGTAGGTGTTGTTGTTGGCATCCATCTGTCTCATTTGATGGGCAGATGATTAATACAGATAAGGAGATCTCCTCTCCCTTCTTCCCACTCCTATCCTGCCCCATTTGCATGGTTGTATTCAATTGGCAATGATCCCAGTGATGAAATGCAGCTGTTCTGTGCCTCTTGATTTGTATATCTCTATCACATATGTGTATTCTAGAAATCCTCCAAACCATTGCATTTGAAAGCACCGTTTAGGAACAGCACACCCTCCCAGCTACAATCCTGTCATCTCTTACTTTCCATGAATACTTTGATTTTGTGGGCTGCAAAGACCTTATCATGGACTCTTCTTTTTCTTCAATGGGCTTGGCCAACAGAAATGAGGTCTTCTCAGCTGAGATGTTTTATTACGTTTGTGGACAGGTCCACTTTTTCATGTCTAATTGAAGTCTCAAGAGTGGTTTTGAGATCCACTACTGTAAAACACTGAGCCTGAGAGCCTACAGATCTTGGACTCTAACTTGTATCAACCCCGGCCAGTATGGCCAGCGGATGGAGCTATTGTCCAACAAAATCTGTAGTGGCTCCTCACCTCTGTAATAAATTACCGTATTTTTCACTCTATAAGACGCACCAGATCCTAAATATTTTGGAGGAGGAAGAAGAAAAAAAAAATCTGAATCTCAGAAGCCAGAACAAGAGGTCACTGGCAGTGAAAGCAGGCGATCCCTCTGCTGTTCTGGCTTCTGTGATAGCTGCGCAGCCTGCAATTCGCCTCCCATAAGATGCACACACATTTCACCCTTACTTTTTAGGAAGGAAAAGTGAGTCTATAGAGCAAAAATACAGTATATAAGTGCATACAGTTGGGGGGTGGGGAGGTGCCAAGGCCTTTGAGCAGGGAAAACCGTATTTATATGGAAGTACAAATATCCTTTTATTTTACTACATCTCACTTCCACAGACTGCACTCTAAAGGACAGACACGAACTGCAATCTGCGTACTCAGTGGGGCCTAATCCATAGGATTGCAGCTCATACTAAATACCCACTGTTACACAATGGCTTCCTTTTTGTTGCTGTACCTTATCAGCAGTAATTTCCTATTACCTAACTCTGGCCCCAGATGAGTACCCTTACCCCAAAATGATGAACAAACATTTCATCTTTTTTGCATACGATAGCCTGGATCTGGGGCAACTGATGTGAAACCTGCTTTCACGGATAATTGCTCTTGTTGCTAAAGGCAAATGTCCATAAAGCCAAGTTCCATATCCAGAAATCTTCCAGTTCAACTGGTGGGCAGGGGTATCATGCACATGTATTCAACTCCATTCATCTGGTCTGGGTGGCAAAGCTTCAATGCACATAGTCTTTCTCTGCCTGGCTCAACTTCTTCAGCTCATTTCGGCGGCACGAGCAGATCTGTTTTCATTGTATACCAAAGATTTGCTCCGGCCGCTGCAATGAACTTACAGGGAAGTCTGGGTTAGAACATGGAACATGTACCGTCTCACAGAAAGCAGCAAAGGTGCATTTGCACATATAGGTCTCACCCTGTGTGAAGCTTAAGCTTCTGAATCACAGCCTCCTCCTCCCTCCCCTCCATCAGGCAGGGCCTTTGCATTTGAACTGTTCATTGGACAGTCCTAGCAACGGAGCTTACAGAAGGCACCGAGTTCTAAAGAACAAATATACTTTTTCCTCTTTTAATGTGTTTAATCAAAGCAATGGTCTGTGTAAATGAATTCAGCTGCTGTATACTAAGAACTGCTTTCTATTTCTGCTTGGACATAATAAAGGCATTTTATGCACCTAGCTTAATTACTTTGGATCCATTAATTTGGAGTGGTGGAGCGGGGGCAGGGAGGGTAGCGGTGGAGAGCCTACATTATTAGGATTAAAATAGGACTGTATCTTTCTGATTCATTACTTTGAAAATCAATACATATTACTTTTCTTTCCCAGTAGGGATAACCACATTACACAGAGTGCTTGATAGGAAAGAAAATGTTCATTCATCGAGAGCATTAGCTAAAGACAGATTTAAAGGGCAGTGTCTCTCATAAGATACCAGTGACTATTAACATACGTTGATTTGAAGTATGGAATGCAGTGGGGTCGGGGGGGGGAAGGGGGAGGTCAGGATATTTTTGATTGCCTTAGAGGCGTTCTCTCTTCTTCGGAAAATTTATTCAAAGTTTGTATTCATCTGAGACGGCCTACATGGCTTCACAGAAATCCTCAGGGTGTCTTAGCTTCCCCAACCCCCATTGTCTTCACATTTTAAGCAATTTAACAAGGGTTATTCCATCACCACTGTTCCAGAGAAAAGTCAGCTAGTTGCTGCTGATCGACGACAGAAAGGATGAGAACAATTAAACTTAATTCATGGAATCGACTGCTACAGCCCCAAAGTTTTTTGCCCAATGAAATCCTGACAGTTCAGTAGACATCGTGACATCATCATACCTGCCATATAACAATGAATTTAGCTTATTTTCAATAGTTTTGAGGATACAGCATGGCTTAAAGCAGTGGTGGCCAAACTTGGCCCTCCAGCTGTTTTGGGACTACAACTCCCATCATCCCTAGCTAACAGGACCAGTGGTCAGGGATGATGGGAATTGTAGTCCCCAAACAGCTGGAGGGCCAGGTTTGGCTACCACTGGCCTAAAGGAAGTAGAGTTTACAAAAAAGGGGGAGGGTGCTGCCCAGCAGAATAAAAGAAAACTTTTCACAGAGGTGGTAAACCTGCAGCCCACCCTTCCATAAAGAAATGTTAACTGTTTGTGACCTCGTGCTAGAAAAACTGTTTAGGGCATCTGGTCAACAGGTCTCATTTGAAGACTTAAATTATTAGATGACTGTTGCATGCAGTTTCATTTCAAATCCTAGGGTTCCTACTACTGGAGAAAGCCTCGCACATCCCACATGCAAAATTTCTTTAGACAGTGATTTATACCAAATTAATATCAGTGATCACTCCTCTTAACTGAATCATCTTTTGTTAAGCTTCTGTCCTCTTTGCAACACCTTCAATCATTGCTTCCATTTGCTTGTTATAATATGAAGGGTAGTGGTTTTTTGGGGGGGGAGGGTAGACAAACTACTGCATGTAGCAGATTCGGAATTGCGGCATATCAGATATACAGCATTTAGAGGTGCATACAGAAAGGGAAACATGAGACTAAACTAGAATATTCAAATTCATCTCATTTCAGTTTAGCACAGGGTGAGTTCAGTTTTAATTAAAGTAGGATGTATTTTTATGGCATGGTATTTCACTATTGGCAAACTGCTGTGAATTAACAAGTCTGAACCGAATAAGATGATGGAAACTCACATTTTCAGTTTTCACCC